TTTTCAATCACATCAATAACTTTTTCTTATTTTTTAATCACATATTTATCATCATATCACTATTTAAAATACATTCTTTCCTCAATAATATCCATCAAACACACCCTTAATAAATTCTTAGTGTGGACGCTAATTATGAATGGGATAAAAATCATATGATTTGATAAATTTATGTGGATTATTAGATCTTGTTTGACAGCCTTTATTTGGCATTACAAAGTTTTTCCAATATTTTCAACAGTAGCATATCCTACTATATTAAAAGACTCATCCTCCAAAACACTGTTCATAACCTGTTCATCCTACCAAGACACATATCACTGTTCACAAGCCGAGCCTCTTAAATGTTGCCAGACAAGCCTCTCCTGTTCATACCACTTCCACCGCCTGAGACAATTGAAATTCTGATTACCCCTCATTTCTCTCGCCCTCTCCTCTCTCTCTCGAGTCTCGACAATCAACAGATCTCCGCCCTTTCCCCCAAATCAACCCTACTTCATCTTCTCCCCATTCTCTATTTCGTCCTCCAAAAATCCATCATCATCTTCATCTCGATTGCCCAATACGAAGACACCGTCGGCGTCTGCGTGCGATCAAACCCTTCGGTGGTACATCAAGAATCCGTGGAAAATCGCTTGAGAGTCGTTCCCCTCTTGATTTCCCAATCGTGCGCTTCAGACCACTTGATTTCCCAATCGTGCGCTTCAGACCAGGAGGTGGGAGCCCTGGTGGAACCAGATTTCTGGGCCCTCGCTTTAATCCATCCTTGGAGGCGAATACTGATTTACCGGTGTTGCTGCATCCCCATGGCGGTGGTCGTGCTTCGTTCCCTTTCTTCAAGGTTAATTTTTTTTTTCACTTATTTATCGGAGAGTATGGTATCTCTTAGAAATTTTTTGACTGAAAACCTAAATAAACATTTAGTTGAAATGGACAGAGAGAAGCTAAATAAACATTTAGGTGAAATATTTTATAACTCCCTCTAAGTAAAATTTAATTTCTACTGGAATATAAGTGATCTGNATCTGCTAGGTCAGGAAGAAACTCTACATACTCAGGATTAGTAACATAGAAAATCTGCTAGAATATCAGAATTGTTGTCGTCTTCACCTGATGCTTTTAGAGGATAAATAATCAATACAACCAACCCAGTAGTGTCTGAGCTGCCAGAGTTCCCAGAATTGCCTGAACCAACACCGATAGAAGTGACAAACTCCCCTTGATTTAATTCTTTTAATGAATCATGAAGATTTGGAATAATGGAATTAAATCTGTGGAGTTGGCGCATATTGATTGTAAGTTCTTTGAAGATGATTTATTCATTTAATTTTGTTGTGGTTTTAGTCTTGGTTTAGCGTTTATCATTGATCTCAGTGTATCAGACAGCTTATCCTTCGAGTATTTTTAAATTTATGTATTTGCATCCTATATATATATATATATATATATATATATATATATACACACATTACATTATTACATTACACTATACTAAAAGACTGAAGTTTCAAAACACTGTTCACAAGCCGGTGGCTTCACGGCTCCGTCGAAACTCGGCTCGGCTCGGCTCCTATTTGGTACTGTTTATGAACTGATTTTGGTAAATATCTATTCCCATTACACTTCCACCGCCCGATTCCTACTATCTATTCCCATTTTCTCAAGCCGACACCTCCTGTTGCCCACCGCCTTCTCCCTTTCGCTTTCGTCTACCCATTCTTCAATCCCTGACCACAACCAATCCATTTCTCTCCTACTCGACGTCGAAAGCAGAAGAAAAATTCCCTTCGGGCTACTCTCCACCGGATCTTGTAGGCCGATTGTTCCTTTTCTCCATTTCTCAAAGCAGCACCCGTACCTCTTTACTCCATTCCTCGCACAAAGAAGATAGTGTCGTCTCCCTTGAACAAGCCGAAGCAAAATACCCAGTTTACAGGTTTAATTCTTTTTATGGTTTGGAAAACTCATTCGCTTGTAATTTTGTTTGCAGTTCATTATATTTATTTACTACTGAAGCCCAAGAATCAATCGACCAGTTTTTTTCAATTAAGTTATTACATTGAAAAAAGAAAGTTAATAATAATGATAATAAGCAGAACAGAATTGCACATAATTGTAAAAAAAATCAATTAATCACCTTCTACTTTATTTACGAAATTCATAATTTTACGAGTAATGCGTTAAATAATTAGTATGATTTTA